TTCTTTGGGATTGGAATGTAAACTGACCTTTTACAATCCTGTGGCCACTGTTGTGGTTTCCAAATTTGCTGGCATATTGAGTGCAGCACTTTAACAGCATCACCTTTTAGGACTTTGAATAGCTCAGCTGGGAACTCCATCTCCGCTAGCTTTGTTGTTAGTAATGCTTTCTAAGGCCCAGGTCAGTGATCACACTGTTGTGGTTGTCAAGGACATTGAGATCCTTTTATAGTTCTTCTGTGTATTCTTGCAATCTCTTCCTAATCTCTTCTGCTTCTGTTAGGTCCCTACCGTTTTTGTTCTTTATCATGGCCAGCTTTGCAAGAAATGTTCCCTTGATTTCTCCAATTTTCTTGAAAAGATCTCTAGTCCCCATTCTATTGTTTTCCTCTATTACTTTTCATTGTTTATTCAGGAAGGCCTCCTTATCTCTCCTTGCTGTTCTTCGGAAATCTGCATTCGGTTGGGTAAATCTTTCCTTTTCACCTTTCGCTTTCTTTCTTTCCTCTGCTATTTGTAATGCCTCATCAGACAGCCACTTTGCTTTCTTGCATTTCTTTTTCTTTAGGATGGTACTGATTGCTGCCTCCTGTACAATGTTATGACCCTCCATCCATAGTTCTTCAGGCACTCTGTCTATCAGATCTAGTCCCTTAAACCTATTATTTACCTCCACTGTATATTTATAAGGAATGTGATCTGAAGTCAAACCTGAATGGCCTAGTGGTTTTCCCAACTTTTTTCAGTTTAAGCCCGAATTTTGCAATGAGTAACTCATGATCTGAGCCAAAGTCAGCTCTAGGTCTTGTTTTTGTAGAGCTTTTCCATCTTTGATTGCAAATGATATAATCAATCTGATTTCAGTGTTGCCCATCTGGTGATGTCCATGGGTAGAGTCACCTCTTAGGTTGTTAGAAGAGGGTGGTCGCTATGACCAGCATATTCTTTTGACAAAACTCTTGTTTGCCCAGCTTCATTTTGTTTTCCAAGGCCAAACTTGTCTGTTATTCCAGTTACCTTTTGACTTCCTACTTTAGCATTCCAGTTCCCTATGATGATATGGACATCTTTTTTTGGTGTTAGTTTTAGGAGGTGTTGTAGGTCTTCATAGAACTGGTCCACTTTAGCCTCCTCTGCGTCAGTGGTTGGGGCATAGACTTGGATTAATGTGATGTTGAATGATTTGCCTTGGATTCAGACCGAGATCGTTCTGTTGTTTTTGAGACTGTATCCCATTACTGCCTTTTTCACTCTCTTGTTGACTATAAAGGTCTCACCATTTTTTCAATGGGATTCTTGGCCACAGTAGTAGATATAATGGTCACCTGAGTTAAATTCGCCCATTCCCGTCCACTTTAGTTCACTGATTCCCAAGATGTCGATGTTCAGTCTTACCATCTCATTTTTTACCACATCCAGCCTACCTTGATTCATAGGTCTTACATTCCAGGTTCCTATGCAGTATTGTTCTTTGCAGCACTGGACTTTCCTTTCACCATCAGACACATCCACAGCTGAGTGTCCTTTTGGCTTTGGCCCAGCCGCTTCACTCTTTCTGGAGTTACTTGTACTTGCCCTCTGCTCTTCCCCAGTAGCATATTGGACACCTTCAGACCTGAGGGGCTCATCTTCCGGTGTCATATCTTTTAGCCTTTTGTTACTGTCCATGGGGTTTTCTTGACAAAGATACTGTAGTGGGTTGCCATTTCCTTCTCCAGTGGATCGTGTTTTGTCTGAGTTCTTCGCTGTGACCTGTTCGTCTTGGGTGGCCCTCCACAGCCTCATCAAACCACACAAGCCCCCTCGGCGCATCAAGGCAGCAATCCATGAGAGAGGGGGGTTACCTAGCGACTTCTAAAATGACCACTGTGCAACATAGATTCTCAAGATCTCTGTGGCATATTTTCCTTAAAGAAATAGATTTCTATGACTAAGTTTTTTCTTTTTTTCTTTTGTCACAACAAACACATAATCATACATTAAGAAAATATAATAAAGAGGGAGAAATGAAAAATACAATCAAATCAAAATAAAATGAAGAGAAATTAAGGTTTTTTAATTATTTAAAATGATTTTAAAAGATTAGTATTTGTACAAGACCAAGTATGGAGCTGTAAAGTAAGACTTAAAGTATAGAATTGTGTTGTGGGATTTGTGAAGCTAATATGTGATATGGCCTACCAGTATTCCTTCGAGGAAAAAGTGATTTGTTTGTAGTTAAATTAACAAAGGATTCACCAAAGGAGCTTGGACACTTAAAAGCTTATACAACCAATATTTTCTTGGTCTCTGAGGTGCTACTGGACTCAAATCTAGCTTTTCTACTGCAGACCAACATGGCTACCCTATGAAACTACCTTCAAGGGTTCATAGTGTAATCCATGTTTCTATATTACCGTGTCAAGTGATGTTGCAGGATATAACACTGTGTGGTAGAATTCAAACCATGTTGGGAGGAAATGGGAAGTAGGGGGAGGGCTATCAATCCATTATTTAATTACTAAAATGGGAGATTTCAGAGTTACATCTGCTTATAAATCACTCATACACTGTAATACCATATAGGTAGATGTGTCTCTTACTCACCATTGAGAGAAACATCATCTGCATGCACCATAATACTCTTTCACCTGTTTGCTGTCTTGGCATTTACAGCCAATATTTTTTACCTCAGATTTATGTATGTCCTCCCAGAGATCTTTCTATAGTGAGATGTGGCAGGGCTTAAAATTACCTAGTTACTATGTCCCCTTAGGATTTTGTCCTTCAGTAGTGAAGTACAAAAGTACACAGTGTTCCGTGCGCCTTGGTGTTTAGTTATGCCGGCCACATGACCACGGAAACGTCTTCAGACAGCGCTGGCTCTTCGGCTTTGAAACGGAGATGAGCACCGCAACCCTAGAGTCGGATTCGACTGGCTTTCGAGCAAGGGAACCTTTACCTTTTTAGTGAAGTACATCTTTTCTATAGAAGTACATCTCTTTTTATAGAAGGAAGTTTGAAACTTAAAGCCAGCCTCAGCATCGTGCCTGTTCAGTCTTTTAGGTCTATTCCAAGAATTGGGGAAGTGATAAGGGCTGGACAGTGTTGCACTTTCTGAACATGGTCAGATGTACATACTATTTCATACGGCAAAAAAGCTCGCAGTTAATGATTTAAAGTGACATCAGACTGAGACTGGACACTTCTTTTTGTGCTCTGTTCCCTCTGATCCCTACCGCAATCCTGTTTATGCTGTAGACAGAGGGAACAATCTGAAGTATATATCTTAATCAGATTTTCTACCTAATTCTTTCAGTTTTAGCCACAGTGGGGGGGGGGAGCACAAATAAGAAGGAACACAATAAAGATCATGGGAACAGGGTATCCAAGGATGACTGCAGTTTATAAGGGGTTAAATAGCTCACAACAAAAGTAAGCTCTAGAAGCCTTTCTGTGTAGTTTCCTTTCTCTTATCATTTACAAGGCTGCCTTATTCGTTGGGTCACATGGTAAATTTCTGGTACTGAATGGGGTGTTGGTGCCGGTGCATGCCTGTTCTTTAGGATACACTGTACCCCTGGAATAACATTTCAGGGAACATTTGGGGCTGTAGCAGAGGGAGGGAGAAAAGAAAATCCTGTTCTGCTGTGAGAAATCTCTTCTATTACAATAAATTATCACAGTGTTTAACTCTATGTCTCTGCAAGAGATTCAGAGAAGGAATCCGGTGTTTAACTCTATGTCTCTGTAAGGAAAAGAGTGAAGTCTTTTTATTTAAAAACAAGCGCAAGAGATTCAGAGAGGGAATCTGGTATATTGCCTCCAGGCTGCCCCCCCCCCCAAAGTAGAAAGCCTGCTTTTCCATCACTGCCGCTGGGAGATCTACATACACACTGTTGTAGATTGTCACTATTGTGTGCCACTTAACTATCGGTGTATATTGTATAAGTGGAGTTTAAAAGATTAATAATAAATGTCTAAACTTGATAATATTACTATTCATAAAGGTTATAGGGTTGTATGCTTTAGACAGGTGATATCAATTTCTCTTGGAGTAATTTGGAAGTAAGAATTAAGAGAAGCCTGTAACTATTTATGCTTAGGTGGCTTTTTAACTAAAAAAATTGTTTCCACTTCAATATATACCTTCTTTTTGCTGCTTTTATCCTAGTTAGTTATTGTTGTTGCCTTGGAAATCACAATGTTTTATAATAGCGCATGAGGGGATCACTGCTACTGAATTATTTGAGGCATATTTTTGGTCATTAACACAGTTCTGTTGAAGTCAAGTTTGTGCAACTAATTGCCTAATCCAGAGAGATTAATGTTACGTATATGTACAGCTGTGCATGGAAATATACCATGCTGCTTAGATGATGGATGTGATCAGCTTTGACATTGCTAAAGGTTTTCTTTTTGAATAGCTCTCTCTTATTGCATCAGGTCATGTTCAGAAGAATGCTTCATACATGATTGCCTGTCTTATGATAAAGATCACCCTTCCTATATCAGCTGTATTTGACTGGAAGCAAGTCCCATTTACTTCAGTGGAGCATGCTTTAACAAATGTTTTTAATATTAGAGCATCAAATTTACGTAACATTTTTGATCAAGATTCCTCTCAGTCAATTAAACTTGTACTTACAGATGAAATAGTTCTGTTCCTCTTCTTTAGTCACAAAAAGAAACAGTAACAGTCAGGTGTATAAGAGTTTCATTTAAAAATGTACCGAAAGTACTATAAATAGCTTGTTTAAAATATAAAGATGGTTATCCTTTACAGATTATTATGGTTATATTTACACAGCAATTTATTAATTTATCCATTTATAGCCCACCTTTCTCACTGAGATTCAAGGTGGATAACAAAAGATAGAGAACAGTTAGTAATAAATGCAGATAATATTGTATAGCTTTGCCTTGCTTAAAGGCATCTGATATTATGTGTGTTGAACTCATTTCAGTATTTTTAATGGAAAGAATTGTTAATTAACAATTATCTTTTCCTTTTCTTTCAGACACCTGTACCTGAACACTTAATTGCAAGCTTGAAAATCTAAGAAACTGAAACTTGTTCTGTGAGCTTGAAGATAAATTTTCAGTGTGTAAAGGCACTTTTAAGAATGAAAACTGCATCCAGTTACGTTAGTGAATATAGAATAATGAGAAGAACACTATGATGGCAAAGAACAAAGAGCCTCGCCCTCCATCCTATGCTATTAGTGTGGTTGGACTTTCTGGAACTGAAAAAGACAAGGGGAACTGTGGAGTCGGGAAGTCATGTTTGTGCAATAGATTTGTGCGTTCAAAAGCAGATGAATATTACCCAGAACATACCTCTGTGCTTAGCACAATTGACTTTGGCGGACGAGTTGTTAATAATGATCACTTCTTATACTGGGGTGACGTAACACAATGTGGAGAGGATGGAATAGATTGCAAAATTCATGTTATTGAACAGACTGAGTTCATTGATGATCAGACTTTTTTGCCTCATCGAAGTACGAATTTACAACTCTATATAAAACGTGCAGCTGCAACCAAATTGCAGTCAGCAGAAAAACTTATGTATATTTGCACAGATCAGCTTGGATTGGAGCAGGACTTTGAGCAAAAGCAAATGCCTGAAGGGAAGCTAAACATTGATGGATTTGTTTTGTGCATCGATGTAAGTCAAGGATGCAACAGGAAGTTTGATGATCAACTTAAGTTTGTGAATAACCTCTATATTCAGCTATCAAAATCTAAAAAGCCTATAATAATAGCAGCAACTAAATGTGATGAATGTGTGGAACATTATTTACGAGAGGTTCAGGCATTTGCTTCAAATAAGAAGAACCTTCAGGTAGTTGAAACATCAGCTAGATTCAATGTCAATGTAGAGACATGTTTTACTGCATTGGTACAAATGATGGATAAAACCCGTGGTAAGCCTAAAATAATTCCCTATCTGGATGCCTATAAAACACAAAGACAACTTGTTGTTACTGCAACAGATAAATTTGAGAAACTTGTGCAGACTGTTAGAGACTACCATGCAACATGGAAAACTGTTAGTAATAAACTGAAAAATCATCCAGATTATGAAGACTACATTAATTTAGAGGGAACCAAAAAGGCCAAAAATACTTTCTCAAAACACATAGAACAGCTTAAACAAGAACATATAAGAAAACGAAGAGATGAATATATTAATACATTACCAAGAGCTTTTAACACCCTTTTGTCAAATCTTGAAGAGATTGAGCATTTGAACTGGTCTGAAGCTTTGAAATTAATGGAAAAAAGACCAGATTTCCAACGATGTTTTGTGGTTCTGGAAAAAACACCTTGGGATGAAACTGACCATATAGATAAAGTAAATGATAGGAGGATTCCATTTGACCTTTTGAGCACACTAGAAGCTGAAAAAGTCTATCAAAATCATGTACAACATCTAATATCAGAAAAGAGGAGAGTTGAAATGAAGGAGAAATTCAAAAAAACACTTGAAAGAATACAGTTCATTTCTCCAGGGCAGCCCTGGGAAGAAGTTATGTGTTTTGTAATGGAGGATGAGGCATTTAAATATATTACAGAGGCAGATAGCAGGGAAGTGTATAGCAGGCATCAACGGGAAATAGTTGAAAAAGCCAAAGAGGAATTTCAGGAAATGCTTTTTGAACATTCAGAACTGTTTTATGACTTAGATTTGAATGCAACACCTAGTTCTGATAAAATGAGTGAAATTCATGCAGTTCTGAGTGAAGAACCTAGGTACAAAGCTTTACAGAAACTTGCACCTGATCGAGAGTCTCTTCTCCTTAAACATATAGGATTTGTGTATCATCCCACTAAAGAAACATGTCTCAGTGGCCAAAACTGCATGGACGTTAAAGTGGAACAGCTACTAGCCAATAGTCTCATACAACTGGACCATGGACGCTTAAATTTGTATCACGATAGTGCCAACATTGATAAAGTTAATCTTTTCATTTTGGGTAAAGATGGTCTTTCACAAGAGTTGGCAAATGAGATTCGGACACAATCCACAGATGATGAGTATGCCTTAGATGGAAAAATATATGAACTTGATCTTAGACCAGTTGATGCAAAATCACCTTATCTTTTGAGTCAGTTATGGACTTCTGCCTTCAAACCACATGGATGTTTCTGTGTGTTTAATTCTATTGAATCACTCAATTTTATTGGTGAAAGCATTGGGAAAATACGGACAGAGGCATCTCAAATAAGAAGAGACAAGTATATGGCCAGTCTTCCATTTACGTTAATATTAGCTAATCAGAGAGAGAGTGTCAGTAAGAATTTGCCTATTCTAAGACACCAAGGACAGCAATTGGCAAATAAGTTGCAGTGTCCTTTTATAGATGTGCCTGCTGGTACCTACCCACGTAAATTTAATGAGGCTCAAATAAAACAAGCTTTGAGGGGAGTTCTGGAAGCGGTTAAACACCATTTTGATGTTGTAAGCCCTGTTCCTATAATTAAAGACCTGTCGGAAGCTGATTTGAGAATTGTAATGTGTGCCATGTGTGGAGATCCATTCAGTGTAGATCTTATTCTTTCACCCTTCCTTGATTCTCATTCATGTAGTGCTGCTCAGGCTGGTCAAAATAACTCTCTAATGCTTGATAAAATTATTGGTGAAAAAAGGAGGCGAATACAGATTACAATATTATCATATCATTCTTCAATTGGTGTCAGAAAAGATGAACTAGTTCATGGGTATATATTGGTTTACTCTGCTAAGCGGAAAGCATCTATGGGAATGCTTCGAGCATTTCTTTCAGAAGTACAAGATACTATTCCTGTCCAGCTGGTGGCTGTTACTGACAGTCAAGCAGACTTCTTTGAGAATGAAGCGATCAAAGAATTAATGACTGAGGGGGAACACATAGCTACTGAGATTACTGCTAAATTTACAGCTTTGTATTCTTTATCTCAGTATCACCGTCAGACTGAGGTTTTCACGTTATTCTTCAGTGATGTGTTGGAGAAGAAAAACATGATTGAAAATTCCTATGTATCTGATAGTACAAGAGAGTCAACACATACAAGTGAGGATGTTTTCCTGCATTCTCCCAAAAGGAGCTCTGTTGCCTACAGTGGCTATCCAGATTCAGAAGATGATACAGAAGCCCCACCTCCTTACAGCCCAATTGGAGATGATGTACAGCTGCTACCAACACCCAGTGATCGCTCAAAATATCGTTTAGATTTGGAAGGCAATGAATATCCTGTGCATAGTACACCACTTAATTGTCATGATCATGAACGCAATCATAAAGTGCCTCCTCCTATAAAGCCGAAGCCAATTGTACCCAAGACAAATGTGAAAAAACTGGATCCAAACCTGTTAAAAACAATTGAGGCAGGCATTGGTAAAAATCCAAGAAAATCTAGAATGCCTCTGGCATCAGCTGATGATCTAGATCAGTCTGATAATTATGCAGAACCTATAGACACTATTTTCAAGCTTAGAGGTGTTACTGATGATATCTACGCAGTTCCTGATGATAGTCAGAATCGTATGATTAAAATTCAAAATTCATTTGCTATAAATAATGCCCAAGGTGATGAGGAAAATGGGTTTCCTGACAGAATTTCCAGGACCCATGGAGAAAGAAGACCTTCAAAATACAAATATAAATCTAAAACACTATTTAGCAAGGCCAAATCTTATTATCGGAGAGCACATTCAGATGCAAGTGATGATGAAGCTTTTACAACCTCTAAAACAAAAAGAAAAGGAAGACATCGTGGCAGTGAAGAAGATCCACTTTTGTCCCCTGTAGAAACATGGAAAGGTGGCATTGATAACCCAGCAATTACATCAGATCAAGAACTGGATGATAAAAAGATGAAGAAGAAAACTCAGAAAGTGAAGGAAGACAAGAAAGTAAGTGTTTACTGTTATTTTGTTCAGTCTTTAAGTGGCTCTTCCTCTTTTACATCAGTGTTTAACTTGTCTTTTTCACACCACAGACTTAAGTTAAGAACCTCAGCTGTAGTTCTGATTTGCTGCATATGTGTATTTCAAATATTATTCAGAATGATAACTAGTGGCAAAGGTAACACTTAAAATTGTTGCTCTTGTCGCTGAGGTAGAACCACTTTAACAAGTGAGAATTAATTTAGATTCTTTTGGTGTTGAATTCACAGCTGATGGAGGTCAGTTTTAAACAATGCATAGGGAGGTACATGATTTAATGTGTGATTTGGTCTGCAGGTGTTTTATTTCTGTTATATAAATAGCGATGTAGTTCAGGCATGAGTGAATGTTAACATTTAAAATACTACTTTTTTCTGAATCAAGCACTTACAATGTGAAAATTAAGAGATGGATTCCTTCAAAAAAATGTTCCTATATACTCGGAGTTGTAGCTTACTGGTTTTCTGCTGACACATCTACCCTGAGAACTTAAAGCCCAAATTAGTTTGCAGTAACATATTCTTTCTGCTATGCTGGGTGAGATAAGAAGTCATCTAACTCTGTTGATAATAAAATGGTTACTGCATAATTATTGCAAAACCCCTGTAAGGCAGGTTGGTATTTTAGTTGTGGCCTGAAACCTTAGAGACCTCAATGCTTGCCTTGTGAATTGATGGTAGAGGTGAGATTTGATCCAGGGACTTGTTCTGTAGTTTAGTTTCTTAATCACTGCACTAACTCTCTATTATCCTGGTAGCAGCCAATCATAACCATGGCACACAATTCATATATCTTTTTATCTAGGACTCATATACATAGAAGGTTATGATGTCCTCACAGAGACAGTGGATATTTGAAAACAACCAAATTTTTACACATGGATTGCCACATTTGTTGGGGTGCTGTATATACAAAGGGGTGTTGCTGCACAGAGGAAAGCTCTTGCATCTTTAAGCTTGCCCCTGTTACTATTCAGTACTGCCTTTAGCAGCAGTGGTTGTAGAATTTTTATGATGGAAAGTGAACATCTAACGAGTAGCCTTCCAGATCAGTACAAATTGCTTGTCAGGTCTCATGTTTTTCTGGAGTGAGGGCCTTTGTAGTTGTCCTGCAAAGGAACTTGCAGAGAAACAATTTCTTACAGATTGGCAAAAGTTGCAATTATTGCAATTGTTCACTGTTCTGACTACACCCCTTAGAGTCCTTCTGTTACTGCTATATTTTCTAATAGTAGTTTCTGTAAATTTATTTATTTAAAGCATTTTTATGCCACCGTTCCATCCAAATAGGGTCTCCAGGACAGCAGACATTTGAACATCATTTAAAATAATATATCAAATAATTTAATAAACACTCAACACCAGAGCCAGGGATGTGGAGCTATTGGAGCAGTAGAAAAGAGCAAGAGTCCAGTAGTACCTTAAAGACTAACAAAATATGTGGCAGGGCATGTGGCTGTATCTGAAGAAGTGAGCAGCGACTCACGATAGCTCATACCCTGCCATCTATTTTGTTTGTCTTTAAGGTGCTTCTGGACTCTTGCTGTTTTCTGCTGCTACAGGCAGACTAACACGGCTTACCTGTCTTGAGCTATTGGAGGTGTGCTAAACAAATAGGAGATGTTTAAAATTAAATATTTCTTAGGGTCATGATTCTCCACTTTTAAAAACTTGGCTACAGTGTAGCCAATTCACAATCAGTATGCCACTCAATACCCTCTACAGAATGGAAGATACAAGAATGTAATCTGCATAACAGTTAAATTAGTTTTGAAAAGCAGTTAACCTTTTCAGCTATTAAGCTGCTTGCAGGCTTGTTTTAGCCAAGCACTGGAAGAAGCCCCAAAATCCTGGTCAGTTCTGATTTGGTGCTGCCATTAATACATTTCAAAGCTTTCCTTCTCATAATATAGGCTTTGCCTTTAAGCCACTAAATATTTGTCACCAAACTGATTTGAAGCTTCTGAGCATCTGTGTGTTCCCAACATGTTGTATCTTACAATGCAGTATTTTATCTCCATTTGAACTTCATATGCAGAAGTCATGAAAAAAGTACTAAGACTTTGGGTTGCTTGTCCAAGGCACCTTAACTACTTCAGCAAGCCATTTCAGCTCTGCAGAAAACTGTACACTGAGGGATTGTACAGTAGTTGGTAAAGACTTATCAGTATTTGGCTGTAGCATTGGAATATGGCTATCCCTGGAAGCTCGTGATTACTACTTCCCTTTGAGCAAAGATGTCAGGTGAAAAATTTGTCAGTCTTCATTATTTCACAGAAATAATTTTCTAAAGGTACCATTTTCATAAAATTGAAAACAATATATGGATAACATTGCTAATACAATATTAAGCAAGCTTGGCAGTTTCATAGTTGTAATATTTTTCTCGAGATGAATTGTGTTAGAGAATATGTATATATTTTGTTCATTTGTAAATTGGGGGTGGTTGGATACAACCACAAATACTTAAAATAAATTAACCTAATTTCCTGTGTAGGTCGTATCAAAAGCTCAAATTTCTTATGGTCAAATATGCATTGTAATCACAGTGCGATATGGAGTTAATGAGAGATGCCACAGCATAACAGGGGAACTGAGATGCCCTTGTAACCTTTGTGGAACATGTTAAATTCTGTTGAAACAGATGAGTAGACAAGCATGTCCACATCATATCATCCATTATTTTTTGACTAAAACTATTGTGTCAAATGTTTCCAGTGGCTTTTGTTGATTTTCTTCTATTTAAACCATGTAAAGGAATCACAGGCTATATGTGTTTGGATTCAGCATGGTGTGAATGGAGGGGAAATGTACTTAGCCCAGTTCTGGTTGCACAAATACTAGTGCAATGGCTGCAGCAATGCACTGCACTTTAATATGATTTATGAAGAAGTAATAGTATGCATATGAAGCAATGTAAGGTACAACAGATGATTCACATGATTTTCTTTAATTCAGCTTTGAAAGTGTTTTAAACGCTTTGTGCTATGTTTTGCACATGTGGAAAAGATAGTGGGGGACAGTCACTTCCACTTTGTGCAAGCTGGCAGTGAGGAATAATTTTAGTGCTTCCTCTTCAGCAAGGACTGTTACACACATGGAAATATTCTGTGTGATCCAACCCATCGGTTTTAAATTTTTACAAGTATTAGTCCAATAAAAATAAGTTGCACATAAAGCTTTGAACTGTTTGACTGTAACACTTAAACCACATTTAATTTCTGTTTTCTTAATCAAACACATCTATTTCAGCTCAGGGTGCTATTGGAACGTAGTAATTGACATGGGCTACTTTTAAAAATTTGTTTTAATAAATACAAGTTAAAATAAATATGCTAAATTAATCACATTATATTTAGGGCACTGAGCATTCATATTTTTCCAGTAAACCTGCATCATTTCCAACAGATACCAGTTACATTGTCTATAATGACACTGGGGTAATATTTTGATTTAGATTTGTTTCTTATCCTCTAATTTGTGCTATATAATCAGGTAAGGGGTTGTATGGGTTAAAATTTCTTCTAAATCTTGCTTTGTATGATGCAATACATACTCTGAAGCTTCTCATAGAAATTTTGAATTTTACAAGATTTATGTACTGTTGAGAACTGAAGATGTAGAAGTAAAGATACATTTTGTAATAATTTGGCTATGTTTCCCTTATTAAGAAGTATTCAGATTTTTACTTGAAATTTTTGTTAGTACCATGTAGGGTAGTATTTGAACATTCAGCACTGCTTTATGTTAAGCCAGACACATAACTCAATATTGTCTGTACTGACTGGTAACAGGAGTTCTCCAGGAATCTGGGCAGAGAAAAGTTAAATAACTGCTGCTTGAGAGCCTTTAACTTGAAAATCTCAGGGGTAGAACCTGGAACATTCTGTGTGCCAAGCACATACTTGTTCCCTCTGTAATTTTGTTTGATGAGAACACTTAAATCAGGGATGTCAAACATAAGGCCCAGGGGCTAGAACCATCCTGTCCAGGGCTCTTACCCAGCCTGCAACCAACTGGTATGTATAGAAATATAAAGTACTCCCCCTTTCATGGTATCCCTTGGAAAAAACCTAGTCTTGCATATGATTAAATACATTTATTGGGGGTTTTGTGGGTTCCCCAGTAAATCAGTTGCTTTCACTGCTAGGAATCAATTGCTTTTCTTTGTATTTTGAGTTTAAAAAATCATTAATTGGGTTTGCCTGTGTCCTTTATAAAGCTTATATCTCCTATACCTGGCATTACATATTATGGCATACATGGCCCGGCCTGACAAAGATTTCTGTCCAACCTGGCCCTCGTAACAAATGAGTTTGACACCTCTGATTTAAATGATGAGGCTTATTTTTTTTTAAGTATGAAGTATTTATACAGTTACCTTAGCATGTTATCTTTCTACAAAGCTGAATAACATCAAGTTTTCTGAAAAATCTGAAATCTTAAAAGGGGGGGGGGTTAAAACCCTGTGAAATAAAGAAGAAACACCTGTAGATTTAAGAAACAAAAGTCCTTAGTGGCGGCTGCTGCTAGGCAACCGCAGCAGTGTTGCCAATCTTCCAAGTTTGGTTTCTGTCAGTAAAAGGCAGGGGGATGGAGCAAGTCCCTTGCTAGGGTTGCTTAGGCCTATGAGGGAGGACTTACAGGGACAAGGCCTGGCATCCCCAACCACACACGGAGACTTGCTAAATCATTACTTGCCCAGGACTGGCTGCTTGCAACAGCAGCCACCAATGCTCCCTCTAAGCTGTGGAATCTTGTGAGCAAAAATTCTACTTTGTGAGCTACTGGCATTAAAGTTGTGAGCGAGCGATTTGGCTACTGTATAGATTAGTTTGCTCTGGAGCCATCCTTCCTGAGCTAAGACAAAAATTTGGGAGCTGGAAGCTAAAACACTGAGCTAGCTCACACTAACTTAGCTTAAAGGGAACACTGGCAGCCACCCAATGAAAGCCAATGTGTTGTAGTGGTTAGTTTGAAACTAGGACATCAGAGACCACGTTTGAATCACCAGTCTGTTGTGAAAGCTCACTGGGTGACCTTGGGAGAATTAAACATTCTCAACCTACCTAAGTTGGGGAGTAAAAGGTGGTAGGTGAGGAGATAGAGAGGGTGGTAGTTGGTGGAGTAGGTAGATAGTGGTACTGCTGCTGTGGGGGAAAGTAAAGGAACAAAGCCAGATGGGTAGTCAACAAGGCAGCAGTGCCTTGCTTCTTTCTCAAACTATGCTTATGCTGTCCTCCTGGGAGAGGAGGCAGTGAAGACAGAGGCAGGCAGAAGGAGAATATGATGACAACTCTGCTGCAGTTTTCTCTTTCCTTCTCCACATCCCCACTGGTAGCTCCTGTGCACATTCCCACAAGTGTTTTTGCATGTCCCTGCTTATACTGGTCTGTTTTTTAACATCAGGAATAGGCACGAACCAGAAAATTCTGGTTCAGTTTGGGGTTCAGGGTGTATCCGAACTGAACCCTGGGCTGATCAGAAATGCCCCATTTAAACCTAAACAGCTTTGAAGTGGAGGGGAGCAAGAAGGATCGCTGAAATGGCTTGCATCTATTTCAGCCTAACAGCTGATTAGTGTACCAGTCCTGCTATTAGGCTGAAATGGATGTAAGCCATTTTAGTGATCCCTCTTTCTCCCCCCAGCTTCCCACCATGAGCCACACAAACCTTCTAATAACCATGTGGAGGGTCATGGGAGGGTCATTGAGGTGAGATGGCATGAACCTTGGTTTGCAAACTATGACAGGTGATTTTGTCATGAAATTAGGTTCATGACTAGGTTCGTGCCCATCCCTAATCAGGAACTCTTTGATGTAGTGAAATGCAAATTAATTAAAACATTTCTACATGGGATAACCCCACACAGCGTTCCCCTTCATATTGGTTTCCTGGAAGAGAAAAACTAGTGGTAAAAGAATTATAGCATGGGTTTATGTCATATTGCCCAAATGGTTCATCATTCTATAGCAACTTCCACATCCCTGAGGTTCCTTTTGTTGTATGATATGTGCCTTTCAATTGCACATTAAATCAAATAATGACATTTATAATAATTTTAAGACAGCAGTGTACAAATTTAGTTTCTCTAGAGGTATACAATTTTTTTAAAAATAAAACAAGAACATTCAAGAACCAGTCTAGTCCAATTGTACTGGATGGACTACTGGCAAAAATATAAAATTAATCTACAGTGCAGTTAGAGAAATTATTACAAATACTGTCAATAACTGTTTACTCTTGAAAATGCTGTAGCAATTATTTTGAAATAATTGTAACAGTTGAAATGTTCTGTTGCCATTTTTATTATTTCATGTTTGGACACTAGGGCTCCACTCCACAGCACCTATTTCCAAACCCAGGAAAGTTTATTAGTGGTGTTGTAGGACCCACGTGGAATAATAGCTACATGAGTTGGAAGAGGGAGAAATAACACTCTCCTGTTGAAATATGAGATAGAACATTTCTTGTCACTAGTACCTGGCAACAAGGACGAACACTAACTTACAATATTATAGTAAAACCTCCCGGTCCAGTCAGGTCAAAGGATATCATGTCACAGTGCTTAATCGGGCCAATGTACGTCTTCTAACATTTATAGCTAACTAATAGCAAATGTAGAAGATTTTATTATTCTGGTCATGGACTGTAATAAAACATTTTGACTTTTGACACTTTCCTGTCAGCAGAACTCCACTTATGCCAGAGGTAGGAGAGAGTTACTTCCCCCCCTTCCCAGTGCAGCCTCCTGAACCATTTGGTTATTACTCTATGCAGGTCATGTGACCCCATGTATAAACTTTTCCAGGTCTGTAGACTAGGGGTGGGGAATGGGGTAGAGCTGTGAAACCTGATGGATCACTGGATTCAACTTGCTAATCTGTACAATTTTGGAAGTAAAACAAAAATGAAAAGTAGTTTAGACTTGGTAAGGTAGATACCCTGTATTTAATTGAGATATATTAAAAATTCTTTGGTGTTTTCAGTTGCATGATACATACTGACATTCTTGGCTATTTCATTGTAGCAAAAAAAGAAAACTAAGACATTCAATCCACCAACTCGTAGAAATTGGGAGAGTAATTACTTTGGGATGCCCCTGCAGGATTTGGTTACACCTGACAAGCCTATACCACTCTTTGTTGAGAAGTGTGTGGAGTTCATTGAGATTACAGGTAGGAAACAATTTGAACTTCAACAACATTTGACTTTTTTCTTGATGGCTAGTTGGTCCTGCATTTTTCATTTATGACTTTACAGTGTATGTTAATACAGAACTAATACAGAACATACAGTGTATGTTAATACAGATGAGTGCTGAAATTTTCTGGCTTTCAGGAACTTGCAGAAAGAGAGAGAGAGAGATCAATTTAAATGAACGTGTTTCTGGGAAAAGCTGGAATGTTTCACTTTGTTTAAATGCAAACACCCACTCGCTGCTTTGCTTGCACTTGGGAAATCCTGGCAGGAAACTGGGATATGGAGCTTTATATGAAGCAGATTTATTTTATTCAGATACGTACTGTTTGGTATCTTTGTCATTTCCCTGGTCTCTACTCTTCCTCATTTTGTTGCCATCCTAATTACGATTCTTTGTTACAGCCAGTGTGTTGCAGTGTTAGACTAAGACCTGAGAGACTCAGAGGTTTAGCCATGTAGCTAATTAACAGTGCAGTCTTAAGCAGAGTTACTCCAGTATAAGCCCTAGACTGGAGTAACTGTTTAGGATTGCACTGTAAGTGACCATGAACTTGTCATCTTTTCTCATGGTAACATTCTTCAGAGTTGTGAAGGCAGAATTGAACTGCTTGGGTAAAGGTCAGGATATGAATGCAACATATAGTTAGTTTCACCCGATACTGTTTTTTTAGATATACCTTTTTTTAGATATACCAGCCTATCATATTAAATAGAAAAGAGGATCTTTGGGTTTTGAGACAAAGATCTCCTGTTTTTGAGAAGTTTTGAAACGTGTAGGTTGTAGGGGTGTGCATGGAAAAAATCGGCGTTTTTGGATTTGGGTCCATTGGACTCGAGATATATCAGTATTTCCTGATATTCCCAAATCCCAAAATTAGTATGTTATAGAAAGTGAAGTTTCTGCTACAAGTCCTTGTAGGTTCCCAAGTGGCAACTGGACCTTGTCTTGCTGGTGGCCAGAACAACACACATGTTTCCCAGGGAGAGGCTGCTGGGGGAGGGAAGGTGGGAAACCTGAAGATGGGGGACACATAAAGGTAGGTTTGACAGTAGGTGGGAAGGAGAGAAGGAAGCAGAGAAAGGGGAGAAGCTATGGGGGCTACCAGGGAAGGGGAAGTAGTGGGGGAGGATTAAATGAGATGTCCCCTTGCCAATTTTTGTGGATTCCCCACTTATAAAATTGTATTATTTGGGATATTCATTGTATTATGAGATCTACCCAGTACTTGAGAGGGCGCTGCAAATTGTTGGGCCATATGCTGCTTTTTCCTGTGTATCTTGCTTCTGCCTCTATGCCCTGCTGTTGGTCCTCTAGAGTAATTGGTTGGCCAATGTGTGAGACAGGATGCTGGACTAGGTGGACCATTGGTCTGATCCAGCAGGGCTCTTCTTGTGTTAATTTTTCCAAATGAATCAGTAGTAGAGAACTATAAGATTTATTCCATAAATAAGCTGTAGTCTACACCCTTGCAAACCTTTGAAAAGTAAGCTCTGAATGACTGTAATACATTAGCTAATGTAGTTATTAAAGTGATCTAGAGTGCAATTCTTCTAAAAATCCGTTTAAGAATCTAAGCTGTATTACCAGTAATGGTAATTTTATTCCTCTTTGGAGAGTGTGTGAAATAGCTCTTCAAGGTAATGCTTTTAAGAATATTGTATTCCTGAAAAATTAGGATTGTGTATGGATGCTTTTAAAGAGAACTGTGTAACCATAGAGGTATTGTGGCTTAGTTTTTGTTTCTGATTTACACCATGTGCCTGATTGATTCAGCTGTGGAATGTGGTCAGTGTGGCAATTTTCAGTTGGTGTAACAGATTGTTATGACTTGTGCTCAGATTTGAATATTTTCATCCTACAAATTCCATTGCAAATAGCCTTTTTGACTGACCATGTCCGTCATCTCCCTGCAGATATACCCAACTTGAGAGGAAACAACAAGCTGATACACCCTATGATGTCTTAGCACACATACCAACCAGTTTGGTGTAGTGGTTAAGTGCGCAGACTCTAATCTGGGAGAACCAGGTTTGATTCCCCACTCCTCCACTCACAGCTGTTAGATGACCTTGGGCGAGCCATAGTTCTGTCAGAGGTGTTCTTGAAAAAGCAGTTCTTGAAAGAGTTCTCCCTCTGAGGCGGAGGACATCTTGGGTGATTCCCACCATCCTATCAGGGAGAGGCAGGAACAAATTTCTTTCTTCCTCTTCCTGTGTGGATTGGGATCACCCCCTCTTCAGTTCTTTTCCTGCCTCTACAGGGAGAGGTTGTTGAAGGCTTTGCCTCCAACTGCTAGCTTAACTATTATAGGATCTTTACTAACTTTATTACTATTTTCCTGTTAATTTTCACTCTTTATTCTTCCTCTGTTATTCCTGTCGTTTCATTTCCTTACTTTTTACTCAAAGAGAGTCAGTTAAAGCAGCCTGGTTAACAGGCTGCATAGCTCCCTTTGAATTATTTTCCTTTGACTGAAGATCATGCCTGGCAGATTGGGAGACGGTTTCCTCTCTGAAGCAGAGAGCAACCCCGTAATTATGGAGCTGGCATCGGATCTCCCTGAAGCCGGCATGACCTATCAGGTTGCTGTGACTACCGGCCACAAGCCCGAATTGAGCGGGGGGAAGATGGCGTGTAAGCGCCCTCGTCAGGAGGACAGCGCAGAAGGCTGCAGGCACAGAGCAGGGGATGGCGACGGCAGCCGTGTTGAGGCAGCAATTTTTGCGGGAAGTGCTCCTGTGTTCACCCAAGCCGCGCCATTGCCAATTCAGCTCTGGGATGCCAACCTCCAGGCAGGAGGTGTCGGCGCATATCCAACACAGAGTACAGCAAGTCCGGTGGATCCTAAAAGGCATCAGTTGGGTAACGTACTCTGTTCAGCTGGTACTCCCGATCCCGTTAATTTTTTCGCTTCTATGAGGCAATCCATGAGGGGGGAGTTTCTTAATTTGTGCCGTTTGGGAGATTTGGGTCACCACTCCCCCTGTATGACTTCCCCTGTACTTCCTCCTGTTGAATCCCCTAGACACAGGGAGATGAGGGGTCACTGGCCAACAAAAGCGGCCAGAAAACAGATGCCCAGAGAAAGGCACTCAGACTCTGAGA